CCTTTTCAAACCATGTACAGCCACAGTAATCAATCACTGCCTTTCTCCAGAGCATTTTTCTAACTTTTCAGTCAAGCTTACCACCATAGTGTTTAGTTTTTTTCGAAATGCAGGAAGATTTACTAGATTCAACCTTTAATACAACTTAGCTGTATTGTACAATTCCATTTTAATATTATATTCCTTGAGTTTGCTTCAAAAATCCAGTCAAAAGATACATTAATATCAATGATTAGAGTTATGAAAATAAGAGTACAAACTAAAGGAATATTTGTAATTATTATATCATATTAAATACACTTGAATTAATCTGTAAATAATACTGTACCATGAACTCATGAATGCTGTCCATGTGTAATAGGGGAGCTATGTCAAAATTTCCATGAGGCCAATGTCACAAGTTACATACTTGAATCTTCCATCAGAATGCAAAGATGTAATTGTGATATTTACATGATTATTATTTGTCACCATGCACAGATTGTCATTTTGAAACTATTATGATTTTCACTGTTAGTGTGATCCACTATTGTGGATGCTACTGGTTATTATTTAATTGATGACTTGCACACAAATTTTAGAATCTACACATATCAAACAGAAATGTAAATGATAATGTTTTGTAGTAAGGTTATATCTATTATATCCTCATAAATGTTAACAATCAAATTCATAGCAATATTCATAGCAATATGAATATAGTTTGACCTAATATAGCTGAAAAATTTGAATTCGGCCTGTTATACCCTAAAATCCTACTAAATTGATTGCTAAATGAAAGTTTAATTCTGAAACTCAATCTCAGAAGAGTATTTTCCTGGAAAACTGAAAGAAACCAGATTTCAGAAGTAACTTGCATCAGATTTGTTTTTCATTCTTTTGTAAAGCTTCTGTTTCAAATGTGGCTTTTTCTTATAAATAAAAGGATGTGGATGTGATCCAAATGGAAACATATATGGAAAAACTGGCTTGATAAAATGTGCTGATGACTTATAACAAAATATCTTTCTTTCCATATTTTAATATAATCGGAATTACCACATTACATTGGCTACTTTATTTTGAATAGCTTTCACAGAATGATTTTAATATTAAACTACCGCATCTTCAGACACTATGAATTTTGAACCGTTAATTCTGGAAGGGAATTCTGCAAAACAATGCTGTAGTACTGTATCCAGTGTAACATTATCCTGGCAAAAATAGATTAATGGTTTCAACAATACTAAATTGGTACTACTAGGTAACCAGAGACAATCTGGTTACCTAGTAACTGGCAATAAAGTATAACCCATGATTATTACTCTCTCCATCCACAGGCCCCGGGGTAATTTTTTGGTTAAAAGAATAAAAATTTGGATTTTTCCAAGCAAGCCACAAAGTAGAAAACAAAATTGAATAAGCCCTTGACCCCAAAACAGGATTTGTATGGAAATGTTGCCTTCAATTTCTAAGTAAGTACCATGTAACCACAGTGATTTCAGCTCCAGTGCAGAAAATAAGAGGGAACTAATATAGATTTTCATAAAAACAATTTCTTTGCCTGGTCATTTTATAAAAAAACAGATCAAGGACAAGACATTAAAGCTCAGAGAAACAGTGAGATGGGCCATGGGATGGAGTCAAAGATATGTTAGAATTTGGCAGTTTAACAGTAGGTGTGCGCCAAGCACTGAATGCATACATTGTTTTGAAGACGTTCCAGTGGCTCATGGATTAGTTTTCCACATATGCAGATCATTACATTCACCTCTACTCTAAATACTTTTTAGCCTGCTAAGTTAGGAAATAAGAGGAACATAGTCTTTACAGCTGTGCTGTTTACTTTTCCAAGTAGCCTTTCCTAAATTGGGGGCTTCGTGATTTTATTACATCCTTTATTACAGGAGGAGTCCAACCTTCTAGAAATCCTACACTGGAGAAATTGGCTATTTCACAATTTATCCCTTAGGATACTATTGGGCTGGCCATATTACAACATTACAATCTAGGATAATTACCAAACCTTGCATGCATTTGGCTTCAAAACCTAGGACAAATGGCACATCAAGCAACCAAGTATTCAAAAACCAACAAAGCTGGAAGCAGAATTTTATTTAGTCCTAGGGATATGGCGTGATTGTCCATTAGACCAGTGCTTAGTTTAAAAGTTGCTGAGTTGATTATGTGACACACGGTGCTCTAATACTGGAGTGAACCATCCTTGTCACCCATCTGCACCCTCCAATATAGCCCAATTTCAGCAATTGGGGATCCTAGGAACAGCCTGAAAAGGCAACATATGAGGACCATAAGAGCCAAGGTGGCGCAGTGGTTAAATGCAGCACTGCAGGCT